AATGCACTGAGAAAAGAATGATTGGAAGACTGCCCACTGTCGAATTGTTTCACTTGCCGGCTGAAACACCGGAAAAGTCAGTCCTGTGGCGTTCCTTTGATCGGTAGCCCTCCACACATATCACCTGTTGTGTGGTTTCCGTATGCAAAAACAAAAGTAATCTGTGCAGATTATGTCATCATACTGAAAACACACCGCACGCAAACAAAACCTCTTTTGGTGCTGGGACAAACTGTCATCACGTCCAAATACGAAGGCTAGCTCGTGAGAACAAACCGGAAGATGTACTCATGCGTAAAAAGTAGTAACCATTTTTTATTTAGAATCTGAAAGTGTTATGTGCTCATTCGAGAGGCCAGCGGTTCATTTACACTCCGGGCCGTAAACTTTCCGGTTGTGTGATTCAAATTTTTATAATGTGCATTTGAAAATATGTGCTACTCAGTAGTTTATGTAGTTCTACTCATCCGAGTGTTAGATCCATGCTCCACTCGTATAGCTGTTGACCCGCGTCCGCGAATGATCTGCCCTCAACTGAAGCTCAATGCTCACTCGGTGCGAAGAAGGCAGTTAAGCGACCACTTGCCAAAAATTTCAAAATCCGTTCCATGAAAAGAAAAATTTCTAGTGGGATAGAGATGCAGGCCTTCCGGTGTTTCCTGTACGCCGAAGACTATGCTCGATATTTTTCGATACGATTTCCAATGGTGAGAACGTGAAGCTGATTTATATAAAACATAACTGAGATCACGTGCTACAAGGGGCATGCTTACTGGTAAAAGGCGCCTTACCAGCCAACAATCAATCGGAAAAACAACAGTACTTATTTGGTCGAGAAGTTCTACCAACAGAAACATGGACACGGTAGCCATTTGTAGCCAAATTAGGGCTGCAACTGACGGCTTAACTCCATGTCGCCTATTCACCGAGCAATGACCTTCCACGTCCACAAGGTTCCGGGTCATATCAGCAAATATCGGAAATATTCAGTTCGCTGGTAGTGACGCACATTGCTCTACACATATGTCAGAATCGAAATGGACATCCCTGTTTTGCCTTGACTGAAAATTAACCAGAAATGGCTATTCGTGTGAGTCTGCCTTTTTCAGGAATATTTTGTCATTGCTTTGTCATTAGTAGCCAAGCGACTCCTGCGTGAGCTCTAGATCCTGAATTTAGAAGCAAAATGGAGATTCAGAAGACAATCAGGCGAGAAAATGACTGATTCCAGACAAACAGCACCCATAGAGTAACTAAAACTGTTCAGAGACAACAGGGGTATCTTGGTAACTAGGCCAGATTAAGGGGTAGGCATTGTTCTAATAAACAGGTCGGATATTATCGGATCAGTAGAATATCAGGAAGTTATGCAATGAAGGAGATCGCACAGAAGAAGTCGAGACATGGATGACCGGCTGCCTAGGTAGAATCCGCGCAGGTGGTTTCATAAAAGACCGTGACCTCGAACACCTACGACCAATCGGCACACACATCTGTCGAGCGTGTTGCCTACCATACAAGCACGGCCTACCAGTTCGTCCGAGGCTCTCCGTTTCATGTGATAGCGAACTGATTGACAAACTCAAGTCCTTACAATAATAGCTATCCGGTTACCTTCTAATTGATTGACGACGTCAAGGACTTGATGTTTTCGCTAGCCACTCCATTGCTCTTTACATATGTACCGGTCCCTTATTACAGGAGTCTTTGCCTGCCGTTTTCTCAGCAAGACCACATATCCGATCGTCGCCGTGATGCAGTCTGGTCCGTTGTTTGGTGCAAAGGACTAGGAGAATTTTTCCAGCAGGTGGCATTGTCGAGGAGTTTGGGAAGATCCAGAACTTGCTGCACGAGGAGCGGTATTCTAATCGATTTAATGCAGAGGATATTATTGAGAGACCAGAAAGACCCGTTGTGTTGACATCAGTAAAAAAAACTCTGTTCGCTTGAACGTGGTGAGTGAACTCCCCAGCAGGCGCCTCAACTAAGCTGTTTCGCATATCCTACGAGATTTTACGTATTATTCTCGGCCATCCTCGTTCTACACGGAAAGGGTAAATAAAACCTGCCAGCTCAGGTCACCTCTACTTGCAGTTACTCATTTATCTGCTTCGGTGAACCATGTTATTATTGATCACACGAGCCGGCGTCTATTTGAATGAATGCGTAAACATGCCATCCCCCGGCAGGGCTGAGAAAAGCCAAAGCAGCCGCATAAACGGTGCGATCCCGAGCACCACGTGGACCCCAGCGAGAACTTCTGAGTGAGTTAGGAGGACGCACAAGAGTACCCTAAACCACTGGGACAGCGTCTACCAGCAATGACAGGAGCGAACCAAATCAGAGTAGGCGGGTTTGTCTTGTGCGTACAGAAGGACCCGCACAGGTCCCTGCCAAAAGTCAGTTAACCTAGTAACCCTACGTAACTCTCCACGTCTTCGTTCCTTTCCCCTCTTTTCCCCGACATGGCTCCCTCCATCACTCTCACCTATCATACTAATCATTACCACACGCCCGTAATTATCCCCCCTCCCATAATGCCCACATCCGACTTGTGTGAAGAGATAACATTACACGATCTTTCATACTACCTGCCTGTTCTAATCCACCTCCTTACCATATAAACGTACTGGTCAGAGGATAATTTATTGGAAGCAGACAACTGCTTGTCAAAATGTTTTCTGAATCTTTCTCTGGGAATTGTTGCAATTTAAAAACGAAAGTACCCACTTCCGGTGTACGTAAATCTCATGCGAATTAAGTAATGTTTTTCTATTTATTCTCGACGCCTTCTGAAAGTCCGTCATATTTCACAGGGAGGATAAAGAAACATCAATATCTTATACACTTTCCTGTGGGAAAGATTTGTTGATTGGTGTCCCATAAACTAGTTCTCAGGAAAAACAATTCCAGGTCGATTCCTACATGGTAGTGTGCTGGCTTTTAAAGAAACGCCTTTTCGACCACTTGAGTGAATCACAGTCCGAATAAAGCGAGACTCGTGTTATATGGGTCTTCAATTAATTTTCCATTAACGCCAATAGAAATCAACTAAAAATGCATTTTTTATCCTCATTTCGTGGGATATCGTGCCTCCATCACTGTCCACACACGAAAAAGCTCGCTACAGTCTGTATGCAGTAAAACATAACCTCTATTTCCACACGTACTTAGGACTTCCAAAAAAACGTGTCGTGTGTTTTCTGAAACAAATGCACACAACTCTACGCGTCTTTTGCTGGATATTACTGAAGACACAGGTTACGCTATATAATTAGCGAACAGGAATAACACACCTGTGGGTAGTAAGTCACGTGAACGATCACTGAGGGGCAGCCTCATGACTAAAAGCGTATTTTCTAGAAATGCACTATTCACTTCCCTCGAATAGCATTTTGAAGGAGATATCGTTTGCGGTGACAAAGTCGTTGTTTATGCGGCTCAGAATGCAGTTTTGGGCGGGTTAACTTGAAGAAAATGTGATTAAATTCGCGTTGTCTAGTGGGACAAACATTGAAAATATGTGAGCAAGCAGCACGCTTTACAATCTCTCACAGTAGAAAACCCACTGAGGCATTTCGCTTGCTGCGTATTGACCTTCGGTGCACAAGGAGTGGGCCAAGGTGGAGCAGGTTCGGCTAACTGCATGCAGCAACTGCTCAAATTAAGCCCTCCCTTTCATGGTTAGATCCCACGTACTTTGGCGATGCTTTATGCCCGATGCCATGCGTTACAAACCAAAAATGACTGAACACACTTTCCTCTTCCGTTGTCTTGAGCTAATATCGTCACAAGTCCACCACACCTTCTAGGTTGTGTGAGTCGCAGTAAAACTTTTAAAGATCATAGAAGACCCTAAGTGGGGATAAGGCGTACAGGTGCTTACGTCCGTTATTCTCTCGGTCAAAATAACTGACAGTGCGACCATCGGTTTCGATGATGTCCACCGTGTACCCCACAGTTGCAGCAGCAATGGGAGCACGGACGGTGACTTACGCAGGGGTTTATAGTGCCGGTAGACTTGCGTAGCATCTACCTACACTTTCTCCTCCTCCCTCGCCCGAGCCCGGTGTCAAGACAGAGTCAAGAAGACCGGAGACGAGGCCGCAGGTGGATGGCTCGGACGGATCCTCACCTTGGCGTTCCACCACACCCCCTGGTCCACACAACAATGACCAGGATTTCAACCAACACAACAGAGATTTGGAGGCTGGCACGGCCGAAGCCGCACCTGGGCGTGCCGCCAACGCCTGGCTCGGATCCCACACTGTGATGGGAATGCCATAAAGGCCACATTAAAAAGGAGCCATTGCAGCCTGACTCTCAGACCGCCTCCGGTCAAGGAGGAGGTCGAAGTTACCCCGTCAGTTGGCAACCTTCCAAGCCACGGCTTTTAGCGCACCGTGATAGCTTCAAGCGCGTCAGAGTGGTTATAGTGAGGAGGAAGTGCGCTGAGTCGTCGACCTCACTCTCCCTTCCCACTCCCACACCCCAGCCGCTGTCCGAGCCGGTCAGCAGACTTGAGTGGGGAATGGGCGCGGTGGCTGTCATGGTCGACTGACCATAACTGCGCGCGCCACGAGCACGACCTGGCTCCCCATACACACAAATACCAGGATTTCACACAACGGGGGTTGAACGGCGTGTCTCTCACTTGCGTGAGAGTGCCGTGGAAGGTGCTGTTTCAGCCCGTCCCCAGCCCACCAGTCCGCCACTCCACACAACACACACACACACAACGCGACGAACTGCGTGAACCGAGAGCGGGCGTCAATCAGCAACCTTCCTATCCACGACGCTTGACGTGTCGGGATAGTCTCGGACTCAAGTCACCCGTGCAGCCGAAGCCGCATGGGGACCGAGTCGAGATGCGGACTTCCCACTTGCGTGGGAGGTGGCAGTTGGGTGCATGAGATGTGTGAGTGTTGATTTCTGGTGGGGTGATGGTGGTGGTGGAGGAGGTAGGGAGTGAGTGAATGTGTGGTGTGACCGGCGGTTGTTTACTGCAGGTCGTCGTGGATGCGCATGTGGCCGAATAGGCCCATGCGATGCCTGAAAGTGCGAGGGCAGTATGGGCAGTTGAGACGAGCTTGGGGGGTATAGGTGGGTGCTTCAGGCACTGGTTCGGCAGTCTCTGTGCGATGGATTCGCAAGTGACCGACCAGGCCGATGCGTGAGGTGAATGTGCGTGGACAGTGTGGGCATGAGAAGTCGGCGGTGTCAGTGTCAGCTACAGAGGAGGCGGTGGTGGTGGTGGTGGCGCGGACGGATGGAACGAGGGTGGGGGTGTGCACGGTGGATGTGTTGGATGTGGCGGGTGTGTCAGAATTGTGGTCAATTCCGCTCTCGTGAATGCGCATGTGGCCGAATAGACCCATGCGATGCCTGAAGGTGCGAGGGCAGTGTGGGCAGTGGAGACGAGTGCGGTGGGTGTAGGTTGGTGCTTCACGCACTGGTTCGCCAGTCTCTGTGCGATGGATTCGCAAGTGACCGACCAGGCCGATGTGTGAGGTGAAGGTACGGTCGCAGTGAGGGCAGGTGTAGTTCTGATCCTCATCCCTGGAGTCGGGGGAGGTGGTGGTAGTGTCGGTTGTTGTGCGCGGGACAGTCGCCTGAGCGGCCGCCGTTGGAGCAGTGGGCGACGACGACGAGGAGGAGGAGGAGGATGATGGAAGTGGTTGGTCAGAACAATTGTCAGGGTTAGTTGGCGGGGGAGAGGAGGAGGAAGAGGCAGGCGGTGGACGATGGTTGGTGCCGTTCTAGAGGCGCAGTTAATCCGAAGATGTCCAACAAGTCCGATTCGAGCCCGGAATGTCCGTTGACATCGAGGACACGTTGGAAGCGGTTGTGCGGCGACGTTGCTTACTGGGCGAAGATGTGATTTGCGGGCTTCACGTTTCGCTTTGGCGGCAGCGATGCGGTTGGCTTCGTAGGTCGCAGCGCCTGTCTTCACTGTCCTCCTCCAGGTCGGTCGATCGAGTGCGAGCTCCTCCCAGTTGGTCGGGTTGATTTGCAGGCATTTCAGGGAGGACTTCAGGGTATCCTTGTAACGGCGAATCTGGTCTCCTTGACGGCGAGAACCCGTCGCGACGTCTCCGTAGAAGAGTCGTTTGGGTAGTCGCTCGTCGTCCATGCGCACCAGCTGGCCGCTCCAGCGCAGCTGCATTTGCCTCAGTATGGCGTACATGCTAAGGATTCCCGTCCGTTCCAGTACATCAGTGTCGGGGATTCGATCCTGCCACTTTAGCCTCAGGATACGACGAAGACAACTGAGGTGGAAGTGGTTCAGACGACGTGCCTGCTTTGCATACACCGTCCAAGTCTCCGCTCCATACAGTAGTGTCGGCAGGATGACGGCCTTGTACATCTTCAGCTTCGTGCTCAGCTGAAGACCGTGGCGATTCCAAACTGTGCTTCGGAGGCGACCGAAGGTTTGACTGGCTTTCGAGATCCTGTTGGCGACTTCGTCGTCGATCTTGGTGTTGCGGGAGAGAGTACTGCCCAGGTACGGGAAGTTCTCCACCACTTGCAGTTGGGTTCCGTTCACGCTGATTTGCGGCGGCGCGTTGGGGGCTGTGGCTGAGTTGGGTGGTGGTTGGTGCATCATCACCGTCTTCTGCGTGTTAATGACCAGACTGAAGTTCTCGCAGGCGGCGGAGAACAGGTCCATGTTCCGTTGCATCTCCTCTTCTGAGGTGGTGTGTAGGGCGCAGTCGTCGGCGAAGAGGAGTTCGTGAACGGTGGTTGGGGATACGCGCGATTGGAAGTGCATCCGCAGTTGATTCAGCAGGTGACCGTCCTTCCTGTAGGCGATGCGGATCCCGGGGCGTTCGTCGCGGTAGGCGTCCATCAGCATGGCAGAGAACATAAGACTGAAGAGGGTAGGCGCCAGTTCGCAGCCCTGCTTCACTCCACTGGTCACTGCGAATGCCTCTGAGACAGCTCCGTTGCCCGTGACTCGCGCCATCATACCGTCGTGCAGCTGACGCATCATCTGAGTGAATCGCTCCGGACAGCCGAATTTCTGCATGATCTTCCACAGTCCTTCACGATTCACCGTGTCGAAGGCATTCGTCAGGTCCACGAAGGTAGAGTACAGGTGGGTCCGCATCTCCTGACACTTCTCCTGAAGTTGACGGGCGGCGAAGATAATATCCGTGGTCCCACGATGACGACGGAAGCCGCATTGGCTTTCCGGCAGAAGGCCCCGTTCCAGATGGTTATTGCGGATTCGTGCGAAGATCTTCCCGGCGATGTTCAGCAGGGAGATGCCGCGGTGATTGTCGCAGGCTTGGCGATTCCCTTTTCGCTTGTATAGGTGCACGATAGTTGCGTCCTTGAAATCTTGCGGGACTTCACCTTGACGCCACATCTCCTGGAAGAGCGCAGTCAGGTGATCCATCAGTAGGGGACCTCCGTGCTTGTAGAACTCAGCAGGGATTGCGTCCGATCCGGGTGCTTTTCCACTGGAGAGCTGCTGCACGGCCCTGATGGTCTCCTGGAGAAATGGCGGGAGGTCGAGGTCCGCGTTGGTCTCCACTTGCGGCAAGCGGGCGATGGCGGCGTCGGAGATGACGGAAGGGCGGTTGAGGACGCCTCGAAAATGCTCGGCCCATCGCTGTAGGATTTGCGTCTTCTCAGTCAGGAGAGTGCTGCCGTCGGCGCTGAGGAGAGGAGCAGTGCCCTTCGTCGGCGGACCGTAGACAGCTTTGATCGCAGAGAAGAAGTTCTTCCATTCGTTGCGGTCCGCGTAGCCTTGGATCTCCTCAGCTTTGCGAGCAGTCCAGGCGTCCTGCATCTCGCGCAGTCGTTGCTAAAGGCGGCGGCGACTGCGGTAGAAGGCAGCTTTTTTGTCCTCTGGGGGGTGATCTACGTAGGCTTTGTGTAGGCGGTTCTTCTCAGCGAGCAGATTTCTGATGGCGGCGTCGTTGTCGTCGAACCAGTCCTGGTGTTGACGGGGAGCGCGACCGAGGACGGCGAGCGCCGTCGACTGGACTGTGTCACGCAGTTGACACCAGCGGTTCTCCACGGAGGCGTTCTCGGCAGCGGCGGCGTCGGCGGCGATAGGAAAGTTGTCCAGCCTTTGAGCCAGCTCATTGCTGAGATGAAGATGGTGAGCGGGCAAAGACAACAAGGCAACATTCAGCTTACCTGGGGATCGCATACTTTGTGGTCTCCTGCGAGGCTGTAGGTGAATACGCATCTTCGAGATGACGAGGCGATGGTCGGTCCACCCGTCAGCGCCCGCGATCGCCTTCGTCACCAGCACGTCCCGCTGATCTCGCCTCCGGACGAGGACATAGTCCAGCAGGTGCCACTGGCGCGACCGAGGATGCCTCCAGGTGGCCTTCTCTCGCTCCGGCAGACAGATGAAGGTGTTCGTCAGGATTAGGCGGTGTTCTGCGCAGGTGCGGAGAAGCAGCAGACCATTGTCGTTTGAGCCGCGGAGACCGTGGGGACCCAGCACTCCTTTCCAGGCAGTATGGCCTGTGCCGACGCGGGCATTGAAGTCGCCAAGGACAATCAACTTGTCCGCCTTCGACACAGTCGCCAAGAAGGCGTGCAGGCACTTGTAGAATTTGTCTCTGACGGCGTCGGGGTTCGTCTCCATCGGAGCGTAGGCGCTGATGATGGTGGCGAATTTGCCTCCCCAAAGAGGTAGACGGAGGCTCATCAGGCGCTCGTTGATGCCCTGCGGCAAACAGGGCAGTCGTCCCACGATGTCGTTCCGAATGGCGAAGGCGACACCTGCGTCCCGTCGCTCTGCCCTGGGTCGACCGCTCCAGAAGAAGGTGTAGCCGACACCCACCTCCTCCAGTTAGTTTTGTTCGGAGAATCGGGTCTCGCTGAGTGCGGCGATTTCCACCTTGTAGCGCGCCAGTTCTCGTGCCACTAGCGCCGTCCTCCGTTCCGGTCGGTTGCTCCTCGGATTGTCTAAAAGCGAACGAACATTCCAGGCTGCCAGAGTGAGCGGGCTCACCCTGCCAGTCTGGTGACAACGAGTGGGGCGACGGGAAGGAGATGGAGAAGAAGGTGACGAAGGAGAAGAGTAGGCAGAGGAAGAGGAGGAAGAGTTAGGATGAGGAGAATGAGTATGGTTGTTGTTGGTATTGGTATTGTTGTTGTTTCGATTTTGAGTTTTTCGACCATGATAAGACGTCTGCGGCCCTGGCTAGCCTGGAGACGGCGTGGTACCCAGCAATATTTAGACAACCCTTTCTAGGCCCTTCCCCTCGTGGGGGCTGGCAGTGCCATCCCTGAATAGGGCTGCCATGTGCCGTTGTGGCACGGCCGAACTCCACTATGGGACCACGACTTCGGGTTGTAGTGGAGAACGACTCGAATTCGCCGTAAGCCGCGGTCTCCGACGGCGTAGGTGGGCGCGTCAAGGCGATGACGATGTGGAGATCCATCCCGTCACCGGCTGTCCAGCGGCGTGCAGAGACGAACCACTTCACGACGGTGCCGACGCAACGTTCCATCCGACCTGCCATCCAGCGGAATCCGCAAACCCTGTGCACCCGGCACAGCGCACAGGGCCCCCTCACCTGGTTTAGCCCGCCGGTCGAGACGGTTGCCCGGGGTGTGGCCGCTGAGCAGAGTCCAGCTACGTGGAGCCACAGGTGAGAGTTGAGTGTCAGCAAGTGGACGCTAGGCGCAGTCTCACCTGCAAGCAAGTGAGCGACCACCACGACCATTACGTGAACCCACAGCTGACACCCCTACACCCCTCAAAATAACTAGAGTGCAGAAGGAAACACGGTCGCTTGGACAAGAGCTTAATTCCCCTGATGCTTCGGATTCCTGCTCGAAGCCATCATCAAAGACAATAGCAGATACGGGTAGTTCATGCACAGGGGGCTGCAGTATTTATAGGATGCAGTCGCCATGCTACCGCATACCTCCCCCCTCTTCATCATGGACTGTTGCACTTGGTCTGATGACTGTTTGATGGCCGAAATTCGCGTCAACAACTTCCTCATGGCTTAGCGAGGATGCTATACCATCCATTCCGTGTGTACTGTCGTATTGCAAAATCTGCCACCGAAATATTTGTTCCAAAGTCAGTTCGGTCAAGCACGAAATTAGATAAATAAGACTGGGATGCTCCTCTGTTTCGAAAATTCACAAAAAACCGAATCCTGCACTGTGTTAAACACGATATGGTATTTTGCAAAAATAACTCATATTCTCCAAGTAAACATGAGTCAGCAAATTTATTTATCTGGACATTTTATCTGTTTTAGAGAAAGCGCATGCTTAGGGAATTCCAGCTGAACTGGAATCGCTTGCACCTTTTCGCAGAAGCGGCTGAGGGACGGTGGTTGCGCGCCGGTCACGTGATTTGTCACATGACTTTTCGGTTGGATGATTGCATAGTTGACACGCCGCTCGCTCTAACTTAGCCTGACCTAGCTTCACTACATGAAGGTCACCCCGTCCGACATTTGGAGCTGACGTGCGAAAGGTAAGCCGAGGAAGTTAACCAACAAAGACAGGGGCGCTGGAACGGGGGTTTCTGGCTTCGTTCGGTCATCTGCCAGTTGTACGCCAAGTCCCGGCTACAAATCCAGGTTTGAACCCCCAGCACTTGTTCACCGAGCGACGCTGCCATTCACGGTAGCTGTGTGCATCGATCAGTCCTGATTGCTGGATGGGCCTTGTAGACTCCTGTACATCGTATTCCTACCGTAGCTAAAATAATTCGGCTGACCTGATACTTTTGTTCTTTATATGGCTCTCAGGCTGCGACATCAACCGCCGTACCGAGTCTACTAAGAACTCTGTCACAAACGCTCTTTCAATTTTTGACAGAGAATAGAAATTGGATAAACAGATGGCTTGAGATTCATAAAACTGGCAAGATTTCGAGACTATATATACTTACACGGTGAGCACCCCCTACAACTTACACGTGTCATATTGAACAGTAGATGAGGTAAATAACAACGGCAAACAAGTCTGCGATTTGCCCCTCAAACGGTTCACGCGGTAGATACGCTGAACCAAAACAAGGGCTAGATCGCCGTCCGGCAGGCGTTATCGGGAATGGGCGCCCATAACTGATGCCAACATTTTGGGTGTGATGGCAAGCCCAATTGCAGGCTCATACCGCGCCAAATGGGAACCAAGGCAACCTTCGTTGAATAAAATCCTGGTCAGTGTACGCTGCGGACCAGAGGGTGTGATGGTTACGTCTAGGTGCACGTTTTTGGTGTGCCAGCCATCTGCACCCTCTTACTTTTCGCGCGGGCTAGATCGCAGTTGGTAGCCAGACCCCGTATTACAGGTGGCTTGGGGTTTGTTCACTGGGGCTTTTTGTGGGGCTACATTATCACATCTGATCGATTTGGCTTACGTTTAACGTTTAAGGTTAGGATTAGGGTACCGGTTAATGGTGTCCGACTTTCGGGTTAGGGTTATGCCTTTTAGAATTAGGTTTTCGGGTTACGGTTAGGGTCTGAGTTCACGACTAGGTTTCAGTGTTACGGTTAGGCTTTATAGTTAGGTCTATGTCTAAAGGCTACGGTTACGTTTACGATTTCGGTTAGGGTTAGACTTAAGGTTGCCGTTAGGGTTAGCGGTTAACGTTTAAGGTTAAGGTTAGGGTTAAGGTTAGGATTGGGGTTAAGGTCGCCGTCCGCTTCCCCATTCCTGGCTATCAACTGCGATCTAGCCTTCGTTGCGGTCTACTTTCTAGTTGCGGGTAATTTAGAGATGGAGCGAGCAAAGCGTTGACAAATTCAGCAAAATATCAGTATTTATATGACCACCATGTCGCGCATTCATAACGGGACCTGAAAGTAGGCATATTTAGTGAGAATGACCGCAACATATATAAAAGAGCACACGCCCTTATGCTTGTGGTAGAAAAATATTAGCATTTATTTAGCGACGTGACAAAACGGTTAAAAGTGTCAAATTCTAGAGGATGTTTAAGTGCACACTTCACCAGAGGATTATTTTAAGAAGTTATTATATTCGTATTGTCCTATTTACTTATCGTGTTGCATGAAGAGACATTCGGTACGGGAAAAATCAAAGTTTACAAAATTATAACCATTTTTGACGTTTTCGGGATTTTCTGCATTTCAAAAAATTGGTCTTTCTAAATAGCGTAACATTACCTTTAATATTCCTTTTATGTTTTTACTTCCCTTCAAGTCGATATTTATTGGTATATATATTCGAAGCATGCAATGGTGTCGGTTTGCGAGTGATTAGCAACCATTCGTAAATGACAACACCTTTAATGAGTTAGGTAAACTACTGCATGTTGCGGACTGAGATTCTGGTGCAATGGCTCTTTGCTAATGTGGGTTTTATGACAGTCTCACGTATGTGAAGTCCTAGCCAAGTCCTAGTCCTAGAGCATGTACGTCTTACTCAAGTAGAAAACATTTTCATTCAACCTGCAACCTGATGCATTACCCGGGGGTCAAACGTGCCTGTGTGTGCCCAGTCATCCTCGTCCCCCTGACCCCTGTTGGTGTTGTTGTCGTTTTTGTTGGTGAAAAATTCTGATCAAGGGTATGTTGTGGGTGCGGTGGTACGGCTAGGTGCGGGTCCGGTTGTGCCAGTCACCTGCGCCCTCGCCTGCCTCCGGTCTTGACACGGGGTCCAGGTGGGGGAGGAGGAGAGAATGTGGTAGGTGCAGCGCAAGTTTACATTCACTCTAAACTAATGAACACACAAGTCACCGTGTCTGCTGCACCTTGCTGTGTGGCACACGGTTGACATCGTCGGAATCGACAGTCGGAATGTCTTCGTGGGTGGGTGTGTGTGTGGCACTGGTAAATGGGCTGTTCTCGCTCCGCCGGCCACTGCTCCAGATGACTGATAGAATAGGACAGCGGACTGGCGCGTAAGAAAGGGAGGAGGGAGTGAGGTCGACATTGGGAAACTCAGTTTTCGTCGATGTACTTCTGGATACTGGAGGGATTAAATTCAGGCCTTAATGGAGGTCGGATGTGGTTTGGTAGCCCCACCTGAAGTAAACAAACCCCAGTCACCTCTAATACGGAACGGATGATAATAGGAGCTTTTACAGGTGGGGCCGGGGAACGCACAGGCGACGAGGTCAAGTAGTTGTATGCAAAAGAAGAGCTATTGGGAATGCGCAGTTGTACTTTGAATGCTTGAGAAATAGTTGTGCTAACCCCTAACTCTAACCCTAACCACAAACTATAATCCCTAATCCTAAACCCTATCCCCTAACCCTAATCTTTAACCCTAACCCCAACCCCAAAAGCATTGTGTCCATCAGGTGGGGCTACCAAACCACATCTTACCCTTCATGGATCCTTCTCAACGTGGACTTTATGTCATTTTCACTGATATGGGGTCCAAATCAACCTTATTGTAAGTGTAGTGGGAACCGACAATCCTGCCATCGTAGCCTATGAACTCTGCTGTGTGTTCCACAGAAGGGCCTGCGCAGAACAGTGGGTTGCGCGCAAATTAGTTCATAGTAATAGCAGGCCTGCACAGCATCCGTCGCTCTCCCTACTCCCTCACGCACCTGGGTCTGGTAGCAAAGCTGAGTTGGGGCGACCGGGGCGGGCTCGGGTGCCCAGGCTGGCCAAGTTAGACATCCTCGCTACGCGTGCCACACAAGACCTGTCCCGTGCATAAGAAGGGCCGATCGGCTCCCATATCCATCCTGAGGGGATA